AATGTGTAATAAACAAAGTGTTACATGTTAAGAGACTGATTTCATTCACTCGCTCGCAGACTCGCTCGCTTGCGATATGATATCAAACTCAAAAAAAAAAAAAAAAAAAAAAATAAAAAAAAAAAAAAAAAAAAAAAAGAAAAAAATGATATGGTAACTCGTGAATAAAATTGATATCAAGCACTTAACAAGTGATAGTCTCTATTTACTTTGTGCTTTCACTCTTTTCTTCACCCCATAACTGCTTCATTTCTGTGATCCCAAAAAACACTAAAAGCTTTAACAGGAATTCTTCCTCTAGGCTGATGTTCAGGTCAATGATCTCTCCATAGAGTTGCTAATGATTAAAGAGAAATAAAGACCATTTTAACAACAAATATTGTGTACACCTATTTCAATAAACGTTAACGAGAAAAATGACGTGATATTTTCGGCTAATTGCTGAATAGGACAATATATAGGCAGAATTAATAGGCAGATATTATGGATGCATATAAATGAAATGCAAATGAGACATCAAGCATTCTATCGACCCAATAGCCTCACTTGTACGATTCTTAAAATCAAAAGAATATCTCATTGTGGGCTCAATTGTTATAACAGCTATTACGCATACCATTAGTGGTCAGAAATCTGCAATTTTGGGCAGCTTTCCAGCATTAATAGGACGCTTGCATGGTAACGTCATTGCCCTCTACTACCCTCTACTCCCTTGCACACTTTCTTTTGTTTGGTTAATTAGCACCAATTGTCTTACTATTCTCATGAGAGAATACAAATTTTGAAAATAAGAAAGAAATTTCGCAAAGCATCTTGGTAGTGGGAGTCAAATGACGCCATCATGCAAACGTTCTATTCATAATGCTCTTTTAGGAAATGTTATTAGGTGTAACTGTCCTTTGTTGCTAGCAACGCTGGATACAACAACTGTACTGCGTATCCAAGACTTTTTACATACCTGGAATGACACACTTCGCCGCTCACTTGAAGCTTCTTGTATGATAGTAGCATGTAGTGACCGCTTGTGGATTCCATCTTTAGATAGTTTACTCACTGATAAAGTATTATTTATACGATCCTCCACCTGATATAACAAAAGAGAAGAAACAAAAGAGAAGTTGTAGAGGTTTTGTAAACAAAATGGCAATTTGGTAGGCAAATGACTGAAAAGAAGAAAACAAACAAAAATATGAAACAAGAAGGGGAGGAGCTTTCCAGCAAAAATATGAATGAATAAATGAATGAATGAATGGATGGATGGGTGGATGGATGGGTGTATGGATGGATGGATGGATGAATGGATGGATGGATGGATGAATGGATAATAATAATAATAATAATAATAATCTTTATTTAAGCACGGTAACTCTATCAATATCAAGATAAAAAACTTAATGTTGCTCTACCTAGAGGCCGTAAAAACTATATTAACAAATGATAATTATGTAAAATATACAAATGCTACACTGATACAATAAATATAC